ATTGGTTCACAGAATGTTCCTGGTGCTATTGATTCTACATTGCAGGAGACATCTCAATACCTGGGGAACTGACAGTGAAGTCTGACCTCAATGGAGCCAGTCCTCAGTTCACTCTCACCTGTATCTCCACTGGTGGACCTGCTACCACTGTCACTTGGACCAGAGACTCCACCACTGTCACCCAAGGAACCCAGACTGTGTTGAATGACCCAGTGACTGCACAGTACATCCACACTCTGACTGTGACTACTGCAGGAGTGTACACGTGTACTGTGGCTAATAACAAGCCATCTACTGCTTCATCAGCTAGCTTCACATTGGAGGGTATTTACTGTAATGTAATGTGTCATTCAGTAATGATATCGGCTCATTTTCAGGTCCCCCGTCTCCCACTGATGTGACAGCAGTCCAGGATGGTCCCACTAGTATCACAGTGACCTGGACTCCTCCTGATCCTCTGGATGGTATCACTGGCTACAGGATATCCTTCACTGGAGGCAGTGATGTGGATATTGATGGTGGATCTACCAACAGCTACACTCTGACTGGTCTCACCAATGGACAGACCTACACCATATCCATTGTAGCGATAGTTCCAAACAGACCAACAAGTGCTCCTGAAGTTCGAGAGATCACATTAGGTTAGACCCAAACACTGCTCAATATTATGTTCTGTCACTGACTCATTCTCCATTCATCAGTGAGTGTTCCAGAGAAACCAACCATAGATATGGACATCATTGATACCACATCCACTACCATCACTATCTCCTGGAGCCTTCCTCCTGATGTAACTGGCTCTGAGGTGAGCTGGGAGCTAACAGAGGAGGGGAGAAGAAGAGGAGTATGCAATGCTGAGGGAGGGACTAGTGGACGACTCCCTGCAGACCAGAACAGCTACACTATCGACAAGCTGAGGAGTCGAACTAGTTATGACATCACTGTCACAGTCTTCAACCCTGCTGGGAACTCTTCCACCACCTTCACTCGCTCTACTGATGGAGGAGGTGAGTTTCAGAGACAATTCACTCAGAAACACAGCTCTACAGTCACTGCAATGAATGATAATAAAACAGATAATTTATATAAGTATGGTAGTATAGCCACTGTCAGCATAAAACGTAAGTAGAGAAACTATGGGAGTGCTGGTAACGATATTCAATCATTTCCAGTGATTGATGCTAACCAGGCGGAGAGTACTAGCAACACTTCTGCCATTATTGGTGGAGTAGTGGCTGTGGCTGTTGCCTTTATGATCATAACTTCACTGACAGTCATAGTGGTAGTGATTCTAGTGCTGAGAAGTCGCAGTGGAAATTACTCTGCAAAAACAAGGCACGATCATACACTCTTACATTAGTATGACATAATAATTATGTAATATGTGATACAGGGTTACAGTTGGAGCTACAAATCAATCAGTGGAGCTCTCCAAGCTCCTAGAGCCAACATATGTGTAAGTCTCCCCATATGAAACACTGTGAGATGATTTCTATACCACTGATGGCCTCACTCCAGAGACCCAGACCAGCTCCATACCACCACTAATGAGGCCTACAATGTAGTGAGAGGGACTGGATGGACAGCTGAAGATGATTATGAAGTACCACAAAACCTTCCTCCCACCACCACCTCTCAACCTACCACTACTACTGCTACTGGAGACTATGAACTAGTGTGACTGTGGACATGGCTTGTACTGCCTCCCTTGAACATTGTCTTTGCTGTATGAATGTCAGTAGCTACTATGTTGTCAGTTTGTAAACCTTTACACAGAAAGAATTCTGTTTGTAGTTTTTACCAGTTTACGTTTACCTTCATGAGCATCATCTCCTAATATGTGCATGCTAACCCATCAGCAGAGCACGTAATAGATACACTTGCGCATGTGCAACGCGTCTAGATCGACACAATGTACCATGATGTATTATTTACTTACGTTGAGTCTCCTCTGGTCTCTGGTGGAGGTCCACTCTCAGAGCTTTCCTTATGTCTCCTTCATGAGCTAGACTCTGGCCAACCATTCCTATGTGGGACATCAGTCAAGTGGGGAGACCTGATGTTGATAGTGGTGAAGGTGTTCAGTGTATGACTGACTTGACCACATGTTGTACTAGTGGTGATGGTGGTCATCGTGGAGACTGGTACTTCCCTGATGGAACTAGACTGCCTTTAGCTTATGCTGATGTTGATACTTTTGAGTTTCGTCTACCTCAGGGAGTTGACTTACGTCGTACCAGTGGTGCTAACTCACCAACTGGTATCTATTGCTGCGATATTCCAACTAATGATGTCCATGATAGTGACAACTCAGTGAGAGACACAGTCTATGTGGGACTGTATACTGGCAGTGGAGGTATGAGAAGAGTAACTTACTCTTTATAGAGCTCACTAGTCTTGCCAGTACCATAAAATTGATGTGTGACTGTACTAATGGGAATTGCTGCACTTTGTTCAGGAGAGGTTTCAATATCTGGAGGATTGACATTTGACCCTAGCCAGCTGACCCTCACCTGTATCTCCACTGGTGGACCTGCTACCACTGTCACTTGGACCAGAGACTCCACCACTGTCACCCAAGGAACCCAGACTGTGTTGAATGACCCAGTGACTGCACAGTACACCCACACTCTCACTGTGACTACTTCAGGAGTGTACATGTGTATGGTGTCTAATAACAAGCCATCCTCAGCTTCTTCAGCTAGCATTACTCTATATAGTAGGTGTGTAACGGTTCTATATACAAACTCAATAGGTACATCTTTATTCTACAGCTACTGAGGCTCCCACTTATGTGCCAGCAGTCCAGGATGGACCCACTAGTATCACAGTGACCTGGACTCCTCCTGATCCTCTGGATGGTATCACTGGCTACACCATCTCCTACACTGGAGGAGGCAGCAGTGGTAGTGAGGCTGTCAGTGGTGGAAACACTATGAGTTACACTCTCACTGGTCTTACAAATGGACAGACCTACACCATATCCATTGTAGCTGCTGTTGGAGACTCTCTTTATGAATCTGTGTGAAGTGTTATGCGATTAGTTGCGGACGTGGAATTATGCGCATGCGTAGTTTGCCGTGGTCGGAGCGATGCGTAATTGGTGGCGTGTTTACGCGGCGCTATAATAGTATACTGCTGAAAAAAACCTACCTATGCCCGTCGCGAGAAACTGTAGTACTGAATAGTGACGAATTTCCCATCGTTACTGTTACTTCTCTGGTCACTGGTGGAGGTCCACTCTCAGACCTTTCCTTATGTCTCCTTCAATGGCGATACTCTGGCCAACAATTCCTATGTGGACATCAGTCAAGTGGGGAATGATGGCAGTGGCAGTGACAGTGTTCAGTGTCATACTGACCTGAGCACATGTTGCAGTGGTACTGAGGGTTCTCATCGTGGAGACTGGTATTTCCCTGATGAAACTAGACTGCCATTCTCTAGTGATGTTGCTGATATCTATGAGTTTCGTGTAGCTAAGATAATTTACCTACGTCGTAGGAACAATGCTAACTCACCAACTGGTATCTATCACTGTGATATTCCAACTAATGCTGTCCATGGTGATAATGACATCTCAGTGAGAGACACAGTCTATGTGGGACTGTATACTGCCAATGGAGGTATAAACTCACATAAAGCTGTGATTTGCTCTGTAGCCTACAGGGACATTCCATGGATACCAGCAAAAGCTCCCCCTTTTTCACTACGTTAGAGGATGGAATTTACTAACCCATCTTAATGTTTAGCACTATACAGTGCACAATATATGCATGTCTGAATAATTATATTATTGGCTGGCTGGATCTTTAGGTAGTAGTTTTAGCTATACACTATAATTATATCATTGCAGGAGACATCTCAATATCTGGAGGAGTGACATTTGACTCCGAACAGCTGACCCTCACCTGTATCTCCACTGGTGGACCTGCTACTACTGTCACTTGGACCAGAAACTCCACCACTGTCATCCAAGGAACTGAGACTGTGTTGAATGACCCAGTGACTGCACAGTACACCCACATTCTGATTGTGACTACTGCAGGACAGTACATGTGTACTGTGGCTAATAACAAGCCATCTTCTGCTTCAGTTAGTACCAGTGTATCAGGTATATACTATGTATGTACCCATAAGCCATCACACGCCCAGTGAATCCGTTCAGTGAAGGAGTCACTTATGTAGTGTAGCTAGTAGCTGAATAAAGTGGTGAGGGTTATGTACTGTCAAGTGCTTTTCACTTTGCTGTAGTAGTAACTAGTATTGAACACGCATGTGCAAAAGACGGAGGTAGTGTAGCTAGTAGCCATTGGCTGCTGAAATAAAGAATAAAGTGGCGAGGGTTATGCACTTTCATTGAGATTGGTCCTACTCATTGTACATATGGCCAACGAAACATTTTACGTGTGTGTCTACTATAATATGCCTTAGAAATGGTTTTCACCTCCACTCGTAGGGAAAATTCTAGCTGACCTAGATTGTCACATGACTCCTTGAATGACAGCACCACTTAATGGGCATGGAGCACATGTATGCCGTAATGTTTCTATCAAAGGAAACCTTAGATAGTAGAAAGGTTTGGAGTGAAGAACATTGGCCGCCTAGCAACAGTTCCATGGCTCCTTGTGGTCCGTCATGCATTTTAATTTAGGTCCCCCATCTCCAACTGGTGTGACGGTAGTCCAGGATGGTCCTACTATATAGTATCACAGTGACCTGGACTCCTCCTGATCCTCTGGATGGTATCACTGGCTACAGGATCTCCTACACTGGAGGAGGCAGCAGTGGTAGTGACACTGTCAGTGGTGGATCTACCAACAGCTACACTCTGACTGGTCTCACCAATGGACAGACCTACACCATATCCATTGTAGCCACATCACCTGGCTTGTCTAGTGCACCAGTACAGGCCACTGTTGGTTTAGGTATGTCAAAACACTAATGTGTATATACGTGTTTCCGTTTACGCAAGAATGCAAGAGCACGACAAACAACGTAGTAACTTAGTGTATGTGTCAAAAACTGTAGCAAGCAGGGCAAAGGCAGAGCAAACAAGTCAACTACGCCCAGGACAGCTCTTTTTCCAAGGAAAAAAGAACAGTTGTCCCAGCTTTTCATTGTGTAGTGTCTTTGTTCCCACCACAGTTCCATCAGCTCCAGTCCTTGACTCAACTCCAACAGTTGCTACCACTTCCATCACCATCACCGGTAGTATTCCCAGTGGCTCAGTGGTGACTGGCTATGTGGTCCAGTGGCAGAGAGACACCTCACTTGTCTGTCCTGATCTGAGGGATGATGGTAGTATCACTGTGACTAGCAGTAGTTTCACTGGACATACAATAACTTTTGGACTAGAGCCAGGCAATAGGTACACCATCACTGTGACAGTCTCTAATGGAGCTGGTAGTGGTCCTGTCAGTAATGTTACAAGTGGAAAAATCATTTCTTCAAAATGAAAGAGGGATATAGGGATGGCTTGAAGCACCAAAAAGGAAGAAACAAGGGGTCATTACACAGCAAAGATGCACAAAGCTACATTACCTCACTTGTCTGTCCTGATCTGAGGGACTGATGGAGTATATACTGTGACTAGCAGTAGTTTCACTGGCCGTACAATAACTGGACTGGAGCCAGGCAATAGCTACACTATCACTGTGACAGCCTCCAATGGAGCTGGTAGTGGTCCTGTCAGTAACACAGTGACTGCAATGACTGAGGAGGCAGGTAAAGTGCTGTATAATCCCCAAGTTCCTTACAATATGTTTGGTGTTACTCATACTCTCATCAGCTCCCAGTGGTGCTCCTGGTCCAATCACTCAGTACAGTCACACCAAACATGCGAACACTGTCCAGTGGGGAGAGTGCCTTGTCCCCTGAGAAATGAAGAGATCACAGACTACACAGTTGCTGCAACCAACTCAGGTGGAAGTGGAGGAAGGAAATGCTAGTGTTGATGTAGCATGCTAGACAAGTCCCCAAACAATCTCTGAAACTGACTCCATCCACACAGTATACTGTGTCAGTAGCTGCACAGTCATAGTGCTGTACTGACTACCACGTAGCCTCGTCTGTAGAATCCAGAGTGAGTATTTGCTCTGTCATCCCACTTGCATCACACTAAACAGAATTGAGCACACCTGAAAACTTGCCAAGACTATGTTTAGTATACTCTGTGGTCGTCTCATTCTCTTCCCACCAGATGACTCGCTGTTCGGCCACTCCCTCATCCTCTACCTCCCTCACATCTCATGGGCACTGGAGGACAGTTTGACTGCTCCCTCCTACACCATCTCTTACTCCAACACCAACACTGGCTGTTTCCCTGACTCCAGAAGTGATATCTCTCCCAGTGGACATCATCCGACTCTGACTGGTCTAGAGGAGGGACACTGAGTATTCTATCACTGTCACTCTAAGCCACGTACTGACTGGATGGAGGGACTCACGAAAGGCAGCACCACCGAGCCACCACACTGACTGCTGGTGAGTCAACTTGTGTGTTTATATCCTCTTTATTGAACCTCTCTGCACGCATGAGCTCCATCTGCCCCTCCATCTTCCAAGTGAGAGCTTAGGCAGTAGTAGTTCCACTAGTATCACAGTCCAGTGGGACCAGTGGAGTGTAGACAGCGCAGAATGGAGAGGAACAGGCTACTGGGATGAGTATGGGAGGAG